GTTGAAAACAGCTCCATTCATTTTCAATGGTAAAAAAGTAGCTAAAAAAGTGAAATAACTAAAAAAGTATAAATAACTTAAATACAAAAAGTCATAGCACCCCTCACATGAATGAGCTGAACGTTTTGATAAATGAATTGTTGAAATAGCACAAAAATTGTGGAATGAGTTAGATGCTGAAAAACGTAAGGAAGAAAAAAATGATCTATGAAGCATTCACACAACTAGCTAATTGTCTAATATAACATTTGTTACTTTGGTCCACTAAAACAAGACACTTCTTAATATTACATTAAGATAAAAAATTAAATGATGTCATTATTCTTGACCATATGGGCACCCCACCTCTGAATCGCGCTCTCCCACCAACTCCATTTTTTAAAATCACAAATTGAAACTCTTCTTTTTAAACAGGCATATTCAGTTCAACCTCTATTCTCTTGCTTTTAATTGCATTTTATATTGTATTTTATTATCCTTGAGTGCATTAAAAGACTCCTTCATTAAACTATTATAATTTGTAACGTTCTGCTTGTAGACAAAATGTATTTAAAATGATATGCATGACTAAAACGAGACGATGAGGTGAACACTAGCTTTATTTATCCAATCGTTTATTTTCCTCTGCAGAACATTACGTGTTTCCTGAGGACCGGCCTGCAGCCGACCTTGAGGTGAGAACGGTGGAGGAAGAGTCTCTCTTTCGCGTCGCCTTCCCAGAGATTGTAGAGAGCTACCTACGAAGCAAAGCTCTGGCCGAGGAGAACAAAACCAAAAGTAAGACCCCGAAATTAAGCGTTCRGTTTTAGGCGCAGGGCTTGATATTTATAAATGTGGGTATATCGTCTATAAAACTCCCCAGTTTTCTCGCACTGTRCTGACGAGGATCAAAGCTGCTTGTTGTTGTTTTTTAAAAGCTGCCTGTTAATCAGCTCTGACACCTGGAAACGTAGAGCTTAATTCACACCGAAAGCTTTAATACAGCCGAGAGGTGTCTGTCTCACAGGCTCTTCTGTCACTTTATATTTTTAAATTGGTTTCTTCCTCCGTGTCCGTGCTGCCTTGTGTGGATGAACTCACAGAACAAAAAGTAAACAGAATGCAATGATTTTACTGATGTTACCAGATGTTTTACAGAAACATTAGGTGTTAAAAATGCGACTTTTTAAAACATAATTCATGTTATAAACAAAGTAATTCAGAAAATGTCACAAACCTTCTAACATTCTATCTCGGTGTTCTTTGCAGAAAAGAAAGCAAAAGCTAAAAAGGATCTTTTGGGTCGACTGACTCTTCATAGCTCTTCCACTCAAAATCTGCTCCCTTCCACTTCGAACGCAGACAAAGCAGAGGTGATCGTTCTGGACACTCCACRGAGCCACAAGCAGCTTCCGTCTCGAGCCGAATCAGAAGACGCCTCTTCACCTTCGGTCTCTGCCCTTATTGATGCTTTAAACCTGAGCGATATTGACTGGAACGCTCTGTCCTTYACATCCTACCCTGCCTCACAAGCTGTAGAGCCGAAGACTGCCGAGGATGAGACACAAGGTGGAACCGAAGAGCGAACCCCATCGAGGGACGTCCAACAGGCAGACTCCAGATCCGCTGTAGAGCTTTGCTGTCCCCTAAGAGACAGGGTCCTCAAGAATCAGACAGAGAAGTGCAATGATGTGGTTTCAAAAGATCTGAAGCTAAGTCTTCCTGGAAACATCTCACGGGGAAAACACGGATCAGTGAAAGAATCGGTTCCAAACAAAAACCAAGCTCGTAGTTTAAAAGAGCAACAGATTCCTTTATTAGAATCCCACAGCAGGATGCAGGGTAAATCTGAAAAACCTCACAATTATAAGTTTGTCAGGACGGCTCTGTCATCCGCTCCTCTGCAGAGGTGCTCCTCTCATCCGGAGAGTRAAAACGCGAGTGTGCCGCCACCAATCGCCAAGAAGAGCGTGTGCACCAGCGCGTGTTCGTCCAGCGAGGACAGCGATGCAGAAAACCAGCCGTCTGGACCTCGAAGGCAGACAAAAACAAACAAGAGCGGCTTCAGCGCAGACTTCCCTCCGAAACCGATTTCCTACCGATTCCAAACGGTCGAAGCAAATCTAAACCCATTCCCCAAGCTTCAGGGAATTGAACCGACGTCTCAGAGTCACGGGGAAAAGGTCGTTCCAGCTGAGAACAGATGTGTGCGTGACGAGGAGCGTCTCCGGACTCCTGCGTCGCCTGTCGCCTCCTTCGACGCCGATGATTCGGTGGTTTGCGTCGACAGTCCACTGCCGCTGGCTGAAAGACTGAGGCTGAAGTTTCTGAAGTGAACACATCCGGTTAAATACCGAGACCTTTCCCTTGGCTTAAAATGTTCTGATCGAATTTGTTTGACTTTTGAGAATCACATTTTATATAATTATCACTCACTTCTGAAGTAATCATTCTGTCGATAATGTTTCTGCTCGTTTCTCATGAACCACTGGGTCAGTTTTAATGARACTTGCAGAAARCGATTRATAAACATGCTTTGTATCTGCGGCATTGACTGTTGGAGTCGACCTGATTCATGTCAAGTTCAAATCAYCTTAAAAAGCATCGATGTTGAGCTGAATTTGGATGTGGTAGTAGCTGAGCGTCATCCGCAACATGTATTATGAGTTTAATGTTGCATAAAATTGTACATTATGTATTTAATGAGAGTTTAATCTGAAACTCTGGCTTAAAAGGCATCAAACAGTTTGTTGTTATTGGTTTTATTTGTATAAAATATTAATTTGGTGTCTTGTAATATGATAAATGGTACTTGGTTTAATTGAGACTACAGTCCCTCATATTAGATACTAAGTTTTTTTTGTTTGTTTGTTTTATTGATTCTACTTGATCTGAGTGGTGTGGTTTCACAATCTTAAGCATTTAATATCTATGAAGAGCTTCTATTCTCCCATGGCTCCTTGACAAGCTGCACAGACCTAAAGGGGAAGGGGGTACACCCGCTAAACTAGTGGTTTTACAACCCAGCAGTGTTGGTCCCCCCCTTGATCACAGTGAAGCTTCACACCCTTTCAGACATGAAAGGTCTGGCAGGAGCACCGGTGACAGCTGCATCCTCTATTTTAACAGCATCCCAGTCCAAAAGTGGCAGCTCTTTATTCTTAACTTTACAAGAATGAAACAYTGAGAGGTTTTACTATGTTGTGTAAAGCTGCAGCTGAAGTCACTTAAGCGTTTTTAAACCAAGTCTACATCAGCTCCAGTTTGGTTTGTGACTCTCCTGGTTTTGCTCTTCGGTATGATTCATGGTTTTTATTTGTATTTCAGTCTGAAGACGCGCGCAGGCCTGACTTGCCGGTGTGAAGTTCTGTTRAAACAAGCAGCCTTCATTAGACAGATCACATCAAACTGACAATTGACTCCGTGCAGACTTTAAAGAGAAATTTCCCACAACAGGAATTTAATTATTTTTCTTTCCATCACATTATCCGTCTGTTTGGCCTTATTCACACCACGGTGAGAACTAATGACGTCTTTGGGAAGGTCGCGTTTTTTGGCACTTGGGTTCTTTGAACTTTTTTTCCCCCTTCTTCCCACGCCTAATCTCTGAACCCATAAACGTTTTTTCTCCTATTTAACCCTACGTTACTAAAATGACTTTCACTCATTTCAGCCTTTATGCCAGTCTCGCTGCGCGCGCAGACGTCTGCCATGGATCTGGACGATGTCACGGTTAAATTGCTGTCTGAATGGGAGCGCTTGAATAGTGACTCTGGACACGGTCAAGAGCCTCTTCGGTCCCTCTCCCCGGAGATCTGCTACCCCGGCGACCGTCACGACATCAAGGATTTCTCGTTTGGTTTTGCGCGGCGGCGCAGCGGCGCGACTCCAGCGGCGCAAAGGCAAAGCAAGTCCAAGATGTCCGCGAACAGGCGCATGAAGGCCAGCGAGAGGGAGAAGATGCGGATGAGGAGCCTCGCAGAGGCTTTGCACCAGCTCCGGGACTACCTCCCGCCGGACTACAGCAAGAGAGGCCAGCCCCTGACCAAGATCCAAACTCTCAAATGCACCATAGAATACATCAACACTCTCGCGGACATGCTGAGCCGCGCGTAACGGGCGCAGGATGGACCACTTTTACGCACCGGATCATCTCTGGAACAGAGTCCCTCTCACAATAACCCGAATTCTTTTATGCTTTCCTTATACGTTTTTTTTTTTGTCTTGATGTAAGCATTGTCAGGACTTGTTACTGTATATGAGGCTGCCCTTTTGAAATTATGATTTTAGTAGTTTATTGTGAAACTCTCTAGAAGTGTAATTGTGGATGTTTTCTCTCACGTTTGTTTTTCTATAGTGCCTAATAGTTAAGTTTTTAAACAATGAACAATGAACCTGAATTGCGTTTAAGTTCTCTTGAACACGTCTAAAAGTGTTAAATGAATTTCACACATACAAAAATATTTCAGTCCATGTATGCTTTGTGGGTTAATTGTTTTTTTTTTTGTCTCTTTTTTTTCATTTATCATTTTCTCAATGTGTTATTAATAAAACTGTTTGTGTTGAATCTGTGACCTTGTTAATAAACCAAATGTTTTAAATGATGAAGACAATTGGTTACACGTCATTCGATTTATCCAATCACAACGGGAAAATACTGATCACTGAAGCATTGACAGCCAATCAGGAACCAGCATTTATCCATATGGGCGTGACTTAAAACGTTGCTCTTTCACAAGGAAATCCCAACCTGGGAAGTCGCCATTTCAAAGCCTTTCGGAATCACACGATCTGTTAGGAGTTTTGTATTTTTTCTAGCATATTATATTTTTATTTTATTAGAAAGTAAGAATTTTTTGAATCTACGTTGCCTCTATCACCATCTAAAGTAAGTATATTGTGTTTATTGTTTCGCCGAAAGAGATAGGAAACGGGAACAATTTAGCGTTCATTCTTATTAAAACGTGTCGTTTGTATTTATAAGGACTTTATTTTTAGGGAAGTCAAGTGTTTAACTAAACATAAGTAAACATTTTTAATTGGGTCAAAAGGGAAGCAGCGCACTAAAAGACTTGCAAAACGATGGTAATGCCAGGAAGTAGTCGGAGCCCTTTCAGGTTTTCTCCACRTTCATCAGCTTACCTAACCACGCATGTCGAGGTATATTATGCTAGCACGGCTGTTTTTTAGACCCATGTTACTTCCGGTTCTGCTTCAAGTGTCTCGACAGATCAGGATAAAAACGTTTCCATGACTCTCGGGTGCCGTGTCTTTTTGCTTTACTTAAATATTAGTGTGAAAATGTATAAAACGTGTCCTCCACGTTTGTTATGAAWTTGTTTCTGTCGTCCAAAAATAAGCCAGTTTTTGTTCATCAAAAAATTAATTTGTATGGCTCATAACATATCTTTATAAACTTTTAAGAGCCTTCCTTTAATGTGACACATACAAATAATACATAATATTACAAAATTGAGCATACAGCATGCATTTCTATTGTAGTTTCCATTATTAGTTATTCATCACTAAAAACCAATCATGCCGACTTAAAAGCAGTAATTTATAACATGTAAGTCAAAGATCTTGTAATTGAATTGAGCTATTTTCTGTCAAAACCCTAAATAAAAATAATGTGACATAAAATTATGAATATTTTTTGCCTGTTTGGGTTCATGTTTTTAGTTCTAAAGCATYTTAATATTTGTCAATTGATGTGAGATTTCAAACCTGCTCTTTTAACGTAAGCATTAAATGAAATAATCAGAAATCGGGTCAAATACACAAGTTTTGTATGGCTTTTAACCTGTTTAACATCAGTGTAAAATAACTCGGACTGAATTGACTGCCTAAAAACCTCTCATGTGTTATACAAGTTAAAAAATGTTTTAAGAACATGGAGACATTTGTCTTTGTGCTTCATTACCACATTGCGGTAGGGAACATAAGAATTTATTCATGCATAACGCTTCATTACACACAACTCAAATCATAATTTTATTCATGGTACAAGTACAAATTGTGGTTAAACACATTTTCTTTCCCCCAATGATTATTTAAACATAAATATTTATCTGTATGCAAAAGAAAACCTAACAATCTAGACTGCATAGCACTGTGCAGGCTTGCACATGTAACTGTTGACCCGAATCCTTTCAGATGGAGACAGAAACGGGACAAAAAACAACAGAAACTTCAAAACCTTCCAAGAGCGAGTCGGTGAAGCCAGCTGCAGAAAACAACTCCAGGTTTGTCACCTGTTGTTGCAAACACACTGTGACCTGTTGATAAAAGAACTTTTAGTAATTTAGTAATGTTTTTTGCCGGTCCTAAATTTGACAGGGACTTTTCTGTGTGCAGTTTGTACTTCTCTACCTGAACACTCATATCTTCTCTTACGGTCCAAAAACCTGCCTGATAAGGTTGTCGTTTTAATCATTTTAAATAGGAACWAGTGTTCTTTTATCTTTAAGTGGTCCTGTGATGAACTGGTGACCTGACTAGGGACATAATCTTCCATATAAGCTAAATAAATCTCAAATAACAAGGCTTTAATAGAAAACATGTTTGCTTTACGCTGCTGTGTTATATRTACCATAAATAGAAGTGAACTAAATCTCAAATTAATCACTACATAGGTTGTAGCTGCKGCTCTGTTATGCAAGACCAGTTAGAGCCTTGATTCAGTTGTTTTAAAACTGTTTGAACTTCAGAATCACACTTTCTTCTGTCTGAAAWTTTCTGGCCAGAACCTCAAAACTTTACAATCTTAACTTGATTAAGGTTTTATTAGAGACAATGTTGTTATTGGTGAGTTGGGTGAAACTTTAACGGAGTGTTTTTAATCAGGGGACGTGGATCCAGAGGCCGCGGTCGAGGAGGACGCATGGGTCGAGGCGGCATGCGTGGTGGGCGAGGCGTGATCAAAAGCTTTGGCCCACCGGGACGCGGGAGAGGCCGAGGGAAGGATGGAGCCACGAAYGGATTCGGACCCATGAGGTACTGTTTTGGATCCGCTCGTCTTGCATCGTGTATATCAGGATGCCAATAAAATGCTAAAATACAATATATAAGAGAAGATAAGTGAGACTATCCCCTTTTTCTTTACAGAGGAATGGGGAGGATGCGACCTTACCCAGATATGAGAGGCCATCGTGGTAGGGGCTGGCTAATTCGGCCGCCTCCTCCTCCGCTCCCCCCTCCTTTTCCCCCCTCGCTCCCCCCTCCCATTCCTCCCATGCACCTCAGAGGCCCTTTTCCACAAATGCCAAGGTAAATTCTGCAATCATGAGCACAAAATTGCAWATGGAGTTCAAAACTCTCCTGCTGTCACTGTCTTTTATTCGTTTCACTCAAGTAGGGGGTCTCTACTGTTCATGTTGTCCTGTAGGTGGAGATAACCCTACCTTTCATTGGTGGGGGTTTTGATGTGGGCGGAGTTTTCCCTAACCGTGATCGGTCGCATTGACTTGTCTTGTGGGGCAACTTAGAATAGGAAGTAATGATAGTAAAAAAATAGATTTATTGACTATGTACAGTTTTAAAGTACCTGTGACATCAAATTTTTGTAAAAATGTGAATGTGTTTTTGGACAGAGAGCATTGATAACGTATTGCAAAACAAGTTCCACGCCGTTGAGATGAACAACTGTTCAGATATTTGCATGTGAAGAAACAGGAAGTGATGTCAAAGGGGAATGTCTGCATGTAAACAGAGCGATGCTACAATAAATAGAGAAGAATCTGATGTTTAAGATTATTTTGAGTCACTGTCAGAGTTGAAGAAGAGTTTAAATAAGATTGTTTCCATAAACAAAGACTAGAGAGTTTCTTTTATTAAAGAGTTCCCCTTTGATGTCACTTCCTGTTTCACTTTGGCTGAGCCAAATTCAAGAGAAAATATGCCAGTTATGAGACAAAATGGGTAAAATCATGTGCATTATGCTAATTTTCTTAAATATAAATGTTTTCCTTGATTKTGTATTCGAAGGATATCTCACAGGCCGTTTAAAACAGAACAATGACTCGCATAAATAAAAATTGTGAACATGTAAACATAATTTATTGACTTCAGATTTCTTGAGGCGAGCACCGTCCTGTCTCAAGTTATGATTAATATTAATCTTTAAAAACATAGATGCTTCCTACCCGACTTGTCCGAACTACTCCCCGCTGCCTCCAGCTTCTTCAAACCCCACCGTCAATCCAACCAATCACGTCTTGGGCCAACTTCTCCCACAAAATACGAAACTCCTACTTAGTGATCGCAGAAACCCCCTTATCGTTTCACTTAAAAAACTACTCTTGTTGATGTTGATCAATCCAAGAGTACGATTATACACAACTAAGTATTACAGTTAGGCTTGTTTCTGTTTCCAGACGAGGACCCCCTCCGCCTTCTCCTCCAGCTCATATTGGTTTTAGGGGGCGTCCACCACACCCACGAGGCCGTGGCATCCCACCACCAGGACCACCACCACGTCCTTTCTACCTCCGTGGCCCAAGAGGGTAAGGCTTGTTTTGATACTAATCCTACTCGAATTCTTGACTCCATAAGTTACTCCCGCTTGCTTGCACACTTTAGACATTAATTTRTAGAATGTATTTCTAAAGGTTGTGATTGAAAAGCAGACTTTTTCCCCTCTTTCCTTTTAAGCTTGTTCATTGCTCCATTTTACTCGCTCTTGAAATTTACGTTTTTCATCCTTTAGACAAAAAARGCACATTATTCATCTCTTGTATAAATAAAAGTTATGTCAGTTAATCAATAAAAATACTTATTAAAGTAYGAAGCAGTGCATGGATTATGGAACTTCAAATGTGACACGTGTTTTGCGTCTCACAGGTATAAAWATGATTGAGATGAGGAGGGGATCTTAGGCCCCGCCCCCCACTTGCCTTAGCTCAGAAATGGCTGCTCTCTTATCAGAGTGTGCCACCTATTGGCCAAATCCAAATGTGTGATTTTATCCTTTTACACAGCTACCACAATGGACCGGTCTCTCCTCCGCCTCACCCCCCACCTGGCAGAGGCCAAAGGTGGCCAGGCCCCCCTGGTGGCCATCGATTTTTAAAACACGGCCCGCCCCAAAACACACGAAACCAGTACCTGTCGCTTAACTGAAGCGGGGAACGAGTCCYCTCCCCTCTGAACTCTGTTACACAATTACGTTTTCAGTATCTATAAAATACTCTGTGGCCAAATACTATTTGTATTGTCTGCTGAGAAGTACAGCTGAAGTCACATGGAATATTTGGTAACTTGGCCTTAAGGGCCTCCATACATTTGTGACCCAATAAATCCTGTTCGCGCTGGAAAGACTGAAAGAATTCATGTTGAAATTTAATCATTGTTTTGTGATTTTTGTTACAGTCACCTGTTAGCCTTAATATTTCTTTTCTGATTTCTCAATAAAGATTAATAAAAACATAAGGGGGATATTTGAAGTATGGAGGAAGGAGAAAATCCTGGGTGCACAAAGCTCTCCAGCACTACTTTAGTAATTTGACCTCCATAAATTAATATTTTGTTACATGGTGATAGTTATGCAATATGTTATCTGTTAAACACTTGTTACGTGATAAGACGAGTATTTGTGAGTATTTGATCATATTATATTTTAAATGTGCAGCTATTTACTATTTTATATTGCTGTTCGAAAAATATTCATGTTTGTCTCCAGCGGATCATTGTGTAACAAAGAAACGAGGCATTATAAATAGTGTACTGAAGAACTCTAGTAGCTTTTAATATAAGTTAATTTTATTGATATTTCAGTTGAGTCAAAGTCACTCCATCCTGTTTTTTAGTTTTTTTTGTTCGTGTTGCTTCTTTATTCACTGTAATTAACACAACTTTTTTGTGAACTTGTGAATGTGTTTTGAGAACTATCGAGACACAAGAGTTCTGAAAAAAAGGAAGAAATAATAAAAAAAACAAGAATAAACTCAACTTCTCCATTTTTGTTTATTCAATCAGTTTGATAATGATTACAATGTACAGCATAATATGATGCAGGAGTACATTGTATTGTGAGTTAAAATATTTAAATTTCTTGAGTACTTTTGAGCAACATTATGACAAATGGCTATTTACAACTTTTTGTTTGTGGAGAACAAAGTTTTTAGTTTGATTACATCAGTTTATTAGTAAAATCTGAGGGCTGAAATTGATTGCATACTTAAAGGCATTAAAAAAGCTTGTTTTATAGTTATATGGAGTATGAAAAGAGCTTTCCATGAACTACTGTGTTTTTAATTTTAATTGGACTGGAGGACTCAGGACCGCTCCACTTGCAAAGCATCGAAATGCCTGAATATCACGTCTTCAAGCAAAAATCAGTGGTAGCATGTCTAAAATGAGGACATCATCTGGAACGGATAAACACTCTGATATGACTGAGAACTATTATTTTTTTGGCCGCGTGAACAAATTTAAAATCAACTTCAGCAAGGGAAGGTTAAACTTAAATGTGTCTAAAATTAATTCTCTTCTATATTTGAACAATTCTTGACTAGATATGTTGCAGTATCTTGCAGCAGAAAGAAAAAACTATTATAACTGACATAAAATACAATTTATATTAAACTGTCATATAATGGAAATGAAAAAGATGGTAGATGAATATTAGTTTTTCTTTCATGCTTTGATTTAAGCTTGATTCAGTATAAAAATACGGGTTTTGCAGTAATACAAAGGTGATCAGCCATTATTTGGAAACCACTGTATAAATGCATTCAGTGTAGATTGTCTGCATTGGTGTTTTGAACAAAGAGATGGGTGTTTTATGCATCGAGCCGCACATTCTGCAGATCACTCCCGTATTGCAGCAGATTGAAGGTTGGTTAGCACCTAGCAGCACAGGTGCTACCCCCTCTCCACTTTTTTTTTTCATCTCTTCAGCACTTTTATTTTTTGCTAACTCTTCAGCCTCTGCACTCCCTTCTTGTTTCTCATCGTGGTTGWTTGTAACAGACTGACTGTTGTTGTCTCCTGAAGGGGCAGGGGGGCACACACACACAGTACAGTTAACCTCCCTGGCCCCAGGAACCCTGGCTCTGCCTCACATCTCTTCCCTCCTTCACCAGCGACGACGGCGACTCTTAAGACTCTGCGCTTTTTCCTCCATTAAGGTGAGCCTCTTCTTGTGTGTTGATCCCTCTCTGAAACCAGGAGATTCTCTCTCTTTCAGGAAAGAAGGTGCAACAAACTGCAAGATGAAGAATGTTTTGGGGGTATTAAAGGGTACATCTAAGCTGGAAAAATATAAGAAATGTGTGCCTTCTCTGCAAATTCGATGAGCAATATATAATTCATAAGGCTCTTGAGATTAGCATGGTATGTTTTATTATGAACCAGTGCATTCTGCTAATTATCTGCCATTTTATTGGAGGAACAGATAGTCCAAAGACTTAAATATAAAGATCACTAGGCTGAGTCTGAGCATGGAGGAGCAGAAATGGAGACCAAACAGGGCAAAAGCTCACAGCCTCCATAGAAAACAGTAAGCTGAACCAGATCTGTTTCACAGATTATCTGTCATGTTTTTATAAGAAATTAATAATTATGTTAATTTCATTCAACAATCATGTAAAACAGCACATTTATACCAGCAAAAAAAAWAATTTATAAGTAACGATCTAAACCAGACCTGAAATCAGTCTGTAACTTAGACTTTAGCTAGTTGAAAAATGATGACTTCAGGTAGTAATAAAGTATATTTATTATTTCTTCTTACTGTCATAAAAAATAAGAATATTTATATTTACCAGTCAACAGTTAAAAATGTTCTCTGGTTATAGGATGAAACTTGTCTCTATTAGTTAACCCATTTTCTCAACAAGTCAGGTTCCTCTAACAGAAACCTAAAAATGCTCAACATTTATAATATTATTTTACACTCTGTAGGTCTAAATATTAATCAGACATTTATAATATTATTTTACACTCTGTAGGTCTAAATATTAATCAGAGGACAAAGTAATATTTAATAGCTTGTGTTAAATTATAGCATGATTCAACAGTGCTACACTCTGTATATATGCTCCACAAGCTAATATCTGCTAACCAGTTCAATAAATAACAGTGATTACATCGACTTTATAAGAGTTTAATTTTAAACTGTTACATTATGTTCTGCTCAGATCACATTGAGCTAAATAAGATCAAATCTGCTGACTTGTGTTGTAAATTGAGATGTTTTCCTGTTTATATTCTGTTAATAAATCCATAACACCCACAGCTTTTCTGACATTATTTAAAACATTAGATTATATAAACTGTAAACTATTAATAAAAATTGGGTTAATATTATTGATAGTTTTTATGATTTCTACATTGTCAGTCCTTTTTTTTTTCCTGCTCTGTTGTCAACATGTACAGTAATGGGAAATCCAGAGACTTGACCGTTTAGCGTTAGCCGTTAGCTTCACCAGCCGATCACACGCTCACGTGTTTTTTGCGCACTCCAGCTGTTCTAAAGAACCTCCTTGGTCTAGTCACATTTCATTTATTGGCCTCCAACAGGAATTTCAAAAACTATCAGTCTAAACATGCAAATTACATTTACTAAGTTTCTATTGAATTAAAATGCATCGAAATATACTAGTGAGGGTTAGCTGATTGCTATAATAAATGGGGTAAATAAAATATTAATATTCCTAAATAAAACAAATTTATCAGAATTCAAATGGCCGTGCTTCATAGTCTGTCGGCTTTAGGGTTAAAGGCATGAAATGAAAGTATGAACCATAAACAACTTCTTGATAAAGGTGCATTAGGTATGGTGAGCAGCTATGCAGGCAAAATCTTAGAAATGGCAATAAATTTAATAAACCTATAGGACAGTAGTAGTCGGAAGGGGAAAATGCATTTCGTTTATTTACCATATGGAAAAAAAGGATTTGGGTGCTCTTACTAAGAAAATCTTTATTACCGCATTGATTTTAAATGGGTATGTTTACGGTTTTTTATTGTGTACAAAATGGATAAGAATTTTACATTTTGCAAATGTTTGTATGCCAAATATTCAATAAATGCCCTAAATACTTACTGGTCTTGTGTTTATTACATATTCATATAAAATATTCATACACAAAAACAAAGTACTTTAAACGGTGAGTAAAATGGACAGTATGTGGAGTCTGGTGTGCATGTTTACAGACTGAAATAGACACAAATTGCATAAACAAATGTTTGTTTGTATTATTTTTTTATTCTTGCATGAACAAGTTATTGGTATAAAACAGCCTGTAGACGTTCTGGGATTTATTGGCTGGGGTTGTCTTCGGTGGGGTGGTCCTTCCACATGGGTTCTTGGATATGTTCTGGAACTTTCTCCATGGTGGTCTAACATAAAAACAAGCAGAGAACAATTCAGATGAGTAAATGGGCTGGTTGTTCTTCCTCTGATTCTCCACTGCCTTACCTTTGTCACCGCCATTGCTACACCTTCAGGTAGGTTCCTCTGGATATATTCAAGGTACACCTGAGCTGTGCAGCCAGTGATGTGACGCAGCTTAAAAAAAAGTCGAAGGATTACTGTTAATATTTAATAAATACAAAAGCATTTTAACATTTCTACCTTGTGCTCTTAAACTTTAAATTAATTGAAGCTCCTCACCTCAATACATCGGTAGTGTGTCCTCATCTCATACTGGACCCTGTGTATTTTAAAGATGTGTACTGACTTCAAGACTGTCAATCTGTCGATGTCTTTCTTTGGTTCAGAACTGTGAAAAGAAATGGACATTWTAGGAATCAAAAAACAAAATGTAGCTAAAATTTAACTTTTAACCATTACTCAAAGTAAATAAGACTCACACTTGGCTGATGTTGAGACCCAGATGTTTAGCTGCCGTGGTGGCGAAGAACTCATAGCTGTCCAACACGGCTCTGTCATGACCCTTGACCAAAATAACCACTTTCTGGATGAGCGTGTCTGGCTCATTTGTTACAGTGATCTGGACGAAATAGACAACATATCTGTAATTAGTCAAAATATAACAATTTCTAAATAATCCTTCAGATCCAAATATTTTATAACTTAAGAATAATGTTAACAGGCCACATAATGCATTAATCTGTGAGACAGACTATGAAAACTCACCTCTGGGGTTGCTGATAACATTGTAGCCGTGTGAAAAGAGCTGCATGATATCTGTGGGAAATTAATCCTGCACAAAGTGTAAATACCAAAAATAATAAATAAGCTTGTTATGGATGATTTTGGCTTTACACTTAGAATATAAATAGTCCTCAATATCTGGGATTAAACTATACAGGCTTTTGTATAAATCTTACTTTATGATTGATTTAAAAAATGTAAATTGTGTTTTTAATGACAGGTCAAATTGCGTTAGCCAATTCTGAAGCTAACACCGAAGCTAACAGATTTCACAACTTAAACCAAGCACATTATTATAAAAACTTAAATTTACCTAGTTGTGTTGCATTTACCATGGCTGGAGCAGACACTGGAACCTCTCGGTATCTGAAAGACAAGAACACATTTAAGTTTCACATTTCAGACGACTTCCTGTAACCCTGCTAACCGATGCTACAGCAGCCACGAGTGACCTTAACATGAAATTAACACAAACCTTCAAAATTTCCTATGAAATAAACTATTCTATTAGTTAACAGTTGGAAACAAGACATGTTTATTTAACATACCGAGTGCGAAATTTCACTAAATATCCTTGCTAAAGAGAAAAATTGTCGCTTGAGGACCAAGGATGCAGCCATGTTTTAGTAAAAGGCGAAAGGAGTCAATACATTCTCGTGTACCGCCCCCATGCGGACTGGAGGAGACATGACACCAGCTGCTGCACATGTTCATTTTCTTTCAGGTAGGATTTTCTACGTTTGTATAAATTTTTGTCATATTCAGGTTAAATTTAAAATTTTCTGCCTTATTTTCGGCAAAGTACAAAAAACCGTATTCCACCATAAATACCTAAAAGATGCAATTGCATATATA